TTTCTATTCATTCTCACTCTCACTTCTAGTATTGAAAGTCCTAGCCATAGAAATCAGACAACAAAAAGAAACAAAAGGGATCCAAATTGGAAGAGAAGAGGTAAAATTGTCACTATATGTGGATGCCATGATACTATATATGGAAAACCGTAAAGGCTCCACACAAAAACTACTAGTGCTGATAAAAGAATTTGGCAAGATAGCAGGATACAAGATTAACATACAGAAATCAGTTGCTTTTCTTTGCACTAACAATGAAATATCAGAAAAGGAAAATAAAGAAACAATCCCTTTTAAAATCACATCCAAAAAAAAAATGCTTAGGAATACATCTGACCAAGGAAGTGACTTATATGCAGAGAACTATAAAACATTGATTAAGGAAATTAAAGATGATTTAAAGAAACGGAAAGATATCGTATGCTCTTGGATTGGAAGAATTAATATTGTTAAAGTGTCCATACTACCCAAAACAATCTACAGATTTAATGTGATCCCTAACAAATTACCCAGGACATCTTTCACAGAACTAGAACAAATCATCCTAAAATTTATATGGAATCACAAAAGACCCAGAATTGCCAAAGCAATACTGAAGAAAAAGAACGAAGCTGGAGGAACAACCCTCCCAGACTTCAGACAATACTACAAAGCTATAGTAATCAAAACATCACAGTATTGGCCCAAAAACAGACATATGGGTCAATGGAACAGAATAGAGTCCAGAAATAAACCCACAGACTTACAGTCAATTAATTTTCTACAAAGGAGGCAAGAATATACAATGGAGAAAAGACAATCTCTTCAGCAAATGGTGTTGGGAAAGCTGGACAGCTGCATACAAATCATTTAAGTTAGAACACACCCTCATATCGTACACAAAAACAAACTCAAAATTGCTTGAAAGCTTCAACATAAGACAACAACTATAAACCTCCTAGAAGAAAATATAGGCTAAACAGTTTCTTTCTTTTTTTTTAACATTTTTTATTGATTTATAATCATTTTACAATGTTGTGTCAAATTCCTGTGTAG